CGTTCAGGGATTATCAAAAATAACCATTTATACTTATCCCTTGCACGTGCATGTCTTTTGCTTGATTTTGACCGTGACATGTATACAGTGTCTATAAATCTGGTTCATGTATATATTTTTGTTTCAATCATTAAAACATATACCGCTTAGATCAACACACAGTAATCTTATAAGATGAGTTGTAAAGTGAAATAAGAGGGAAAATAGGCATAATTCCACTACCATTCTAGGTTTCTAACCTAAAAGGAATGGAAAGCGAAAGAATTTTTATGTATCAAAAAGTAGGTTTAGACTTGTGTGGGAGTGCTAGAAATCTGATCTCACCTCTGAACGAACTAAGGAGAGATGGGCTCATACTTATGAGCTCAAGTTTCACAGTTAGCTTTACAGGGATGAAGTCATAATTTTACTAGAGCCTGTAAAGAATGTTGAAGTAGCTTGAAAAGTTAGATGGAGAAGAGAGCTTTATTATAGAGATGAGAAGGCAAACCTCAAGTTTTAGTTACATATTTGAACCTTAATTGCAGTTACCACTACAACATTATGCATCTATAACTACGAATTCTCAGTTACAAATATGAAAGTCGTGGCTAATACCTAACAATAGCTACAAAAATTAAAATTTCATAGCTATTTACAATTTCGTAAAATTTATTAGCTACAAAAATATATTGGCAAAGCTAATTCTTTATTTTTGCTATAGTTGCTAATTACCGTGGCAATAATGATCTGAATAGCTACAAATTTATTGCTACAACAAAACTTTGTAGCTAATGGTATATTTTTTGCCACGCATTTGAAGTTATTATAGCAATAGCAACCTTATAGCCACAAAGAATTACTTGAAATAAAATGTTATAGCTAAATAGATCTTTTTTGCTTCAAGGTATAAAAATCCATGGCAATAAGTGACTTAATAGCTACAGACTTATTCATACAATTCAATTTTGTAGCTAATAGAAAGTTTTTGCCACGTGTCTGAAGATATTGTAGCAATACTAACTTTTTAGCCACAAAAATTACTTGAAATTAAATATTGTAACTAAATAAATATTTTTGCTTCAATTATAAAAAATTATAGTAATAGCTGGCTAAATAGCTACAGATTTATTTTCAGAATAAAATCCATCGCTAAATATAAGCTCTCATCACGCATTTGAAAATATTGTAGTAATATTTAGCCATAATAAATAATTTAAAACAAATTTTCAATCAAAAAGAAATTGTTTTATTCAAGTTATAAAAAATCGTGATAAAAATTGGATTAATAGTTACAAGTATTAATTATGACAACTTGATATAGCCACAAATTGAGGGACAATATACTTACGTAGCTAAGTTATAACTTTTTGTCATGCACATGAAATTACCATATCAATAATATTATTTTGAATCACTATAAATTATTCATAACAAAAACTTATAGTTAAATAACTATTTTTACTTGATTAAAAAAATCATTACAAGAGTTTGTCCAAAAAAGATAAATTTTATGAAAAATGAATTTTAAATATAAAAGTTAGATTACACCTAAAATATTAAAAAAAATTCGTAACTGTATATAAGTTAAGTAAAATAATTCTCAAATAACAAAAATTAAGGTACAAAGAATAATATTCAATAATACATCATTCGCATAGTAACTTATGGCCTCAAACTTCTTGTTTATCAAGCTCATACATTTTATATTTTGTTGTTCTTTTTAATTATTAACTATATAATTGTATATGTAAATTTTAAATTTTTATTGTTGTAGAGGCATTTATGTGTATTTGATCCTTTATTTAAATAAGCTTTATAACTTTGTATGTCTAAGCACTTCTTAAAAAAATAAGTTCTCATATAGCGAAGATTTTGATAGTTTGAAGAGATATTTATATATGTGCGGTTCTTAATTATTTAAAATAAATATTTAGAGTAATTTTATATACTTTCACTCATTTTTAATATAATTACTTGTATATTAAGAACTATGTGGTAAATTTGGTGAATTTAATTTTGACAGATGACCAAAGGTCGCAAATACACATAAGAACATACTAACAGTAAAAGAAAACTTAGTTTTAGTGACAGATAGAATTCTGTAACCGCAGAATAATGATAGACTTAGGATAACTAAAATAAAAACAAAAAAATATTAAAAATATTATGGAATTTTCACTAAAATAAAACCGGTCGCTACTTTCCACGCTGACATTTAACCAAAATCTCTTTGCTAACAATGTAGAAACTAATCATATTAGTTTTTCTAAATTATGTTTTTCTAGTTATGTAATTTAAGAAAATAATTATAATATCTAGTTACTCTAAGAATTAAGAATTTAATATGGTTGAAGCCCATAACAAAAATAATTATATTATAAGTGTTATTTAAACTCTAAGAATTAAGAATTTAATATGGTTGAAGCCCATAACAAAAATAATTATACTATAAGTGTTATTAAATAAGTATTACCTATAACTATAAGTTCCAACTATAATTAAAGTAACAATTTAGTTATGTCTAATTAATGTGTAAATAATTAATTATATAGAATTTAAATAACGATAAGCTCATTGTATAACTTATTATATATATTTAACTAGACAATAAATATATTTATAATGGTTTGTTCCTTTATTAAATAAAGTATTACCATCTTTTGGCTATGTCCAAGTAATTATCACATTACGTTCAACAAGATTAGTAAATCACGAGGTATTTTATTAAAAATTCCACAAAGGTCAAGTCTTTACTGCATATATCACCGACACTATTGAAGCCTTCTCAATAAAACCTCTCAAATATACTAACCACTGACTTCTCAGCAAAAATCTCAGTAACCCATCTCAAAACAGTGGCATCAAACACCACACCGCATAATCCATAAAATAGAAAGAACAAAAAACTCAGCTTTAACACAAATGCCCAACTGATTGAATCAAGAAATAGTCAATTCGAGAAGGCAATATTATCAAAAACAAACTACAGTAATTCCACTGAAGTAATACATAAATTTAGTAAAATAATAAAGAATTAAACATCATCTCTCAAGCAAATGAGTAAAAGTTTCAACATTAACTGAGTATAAACAAATATGCATATAAGACTTCTAAATATTTAGAGTAACAAATCTTCATCATCAGTTTCAGGTTCTGATTCGATGTCTTCAATAATATCATCAGCTAAAGTAAAATCAGTGCTGATAACATCAAGATCATTTCTTCTCCAATACATAAAGTCTTCATCTTCCTCAAATGTACAGGAGAAATCTTGAGCATCTTGTTGAAAAGTTTCTTCATTGACAGTACCATCAGTAAAATAAGCAAAATGACCATTCAAGACAACTAACCAATTGGGATGAAGATTATCCTTGACATAAAAAACTTGTTCTGCTTGAGATGCGAGCACAAATGGTTCATTTGTTGCTAACTTTCGGTTAGTATTGACACTAACAAAGTCATATTTATCTGTTTTCACTCCTTTTCCAATGTGATCAACATCCTACCAATCACATTTAAATAAAACAATTCGTTTACCTTCGAAGTATTGAAGTTCTGCTATTTCGGTTAGAACACCATAGTAATTTGTATTTTGACCATTCGTGACTCCTCTTACTAAAACACCACTATTTTGCTTCACCCTATTACCTTCGAGTTGTTTAGTATGAAACCGAAAACCATTTATTTCATACCCCTTGAATCTTTGAATTCCATCAAAAGGACCTCTAGCCAAAGAATACAATCCGGCACTTACATGTGAATTTCCTTCCTTGCACAGTTGCATGATCTGTACAAAAATAAATTATTGAATAATCTAATGATACTAAATAAGTATGAAAAATTGAATAAAAAATACAGTGAAAACTTACTCGATGAAAAAACGAATCATCAAAGTCCATGTTACTATTACTCTGCTCGTACTCCCTGTTTAAAAATAAAAATAATAATTGAGAAAAAGCTAACAAAATCAAATTGTGATGTACAATGCCATGAAGAAATATACCGTAAAAATGGTTGAACTTCTTCACAATTTCTCAAAATATAAAGATAAGCTTGTTTTCGCTCAAGCTCTTCAAGATTTCTAGATGTATCACTTAACAAATGGCAGCCTTTTTTTTCAAATATTGATAATCCACAGTCTGACTTAACATGATCATCTTCATCATTTTTTTCCACTCGATTATACCCTTTCTCGTTTACATGTAAATATCTTGAACAAAATATTAGACTTTCTTCAACAATATACCCTTCAGCAATAGATCCTTCAGGTCGACTTCTATTGCGAACATAACATTTCAGTTTGCGCAAGAATCTACAAAATATAACATTCAGTTAAACGCTTAGCATGAAAATTAACAAGCCACATAAAATTAAACTGAAATTATAAAATACAAACATACCGCTCTATTGGGTACATCCATCTGTATTGTACAGGTCCAGCAAGCTTAGCCTCTCTTGGAAGATGAATGACCAAGTGCACCATAATATCAAAGAATGTTGGCAAAAATATTTTTTCTATTTTGCTCAACGTAATTGGAATTTGAGTCGCAAGTTGATCCAACACATCAACACGTACATTTTTTGAACATAACTCTCTGAAGAAAATACTTAGCTCAGTAATAGCTTCATAGACATGGTTTGGCAGGATTCCGCGGATTGCAAAAGGAAGCAGTTGTTCCAAAAGAATATGAGAGTCATGACTCTTCAGTCCATAAATTTTACGATCCTCTAACTTTACACACCGTGATAAATTGGAAGAATATCCATCTGGAACCTTAATAGTTTTCAAGAACTTGCATACTTTAGACTTCTCATCTGGTGGTAAACTATAGCATGCTGCTGGATAATACCACTTTCCATCTTTTTGAGTTGGATGCAAATCTTTTCTTATACCCATTTCCTTCAAATCACGACGAGCATTCAAATTATCTTTCTTTTTCCTTCCATATCTAATAACGTCCCAATAATATTGTCACACACATTTTTTTCAATATGCATGACATCTAAATTGTGACGTATTAGATTATTTTTCCAATAAGGAAGTTTGAAAAAGATGCTTTTCTTCCTCCAATTATGCCTTTACTTTTTTCGTATCTTTTTCTCTTTTGGGTCTTACCAAATTTAATGTCTTCCAAGCTATCCAACTGGTTTAAAATATCATCTCCAGAGAGAATTTTTGGAGCAGGTCTTCTTTCTACTTCCCCATTAAAATCACGTTTATTTCCCCGCCACCTATGATTAGGCGATAAAAACCTACGAGCACCTATGTAAGAGAACTTACGACCATACTTTAATCGAGTAGACGGAGTCTCTTTGTTGCATGAAGGGCAAGCCAAAGCTCCCTTTGTGCTCCATCCAGACAAGTAGGCATAAGCTGGAAAATCATTTATAGTCCATAAGAGTGATGCCCGCATACAGAAGTTCTCCTTTCTCGAAGCATCATATGTATCGACTCCATTATACCACAATTCTTGCAACTCATCCACCAAAGGTTCTAAGTACACATCAATATCATTTCCAGGAGCTTTAGGGCCAGGTATCAACAAAGACAAAAAGCAATATGGTTGCTTCATGCACATCCAAAGGGGTAGGTTATACACAGTAATAATTACTGGCCAAGTGCTATGAGAAACACTTAAATTGCCGAAAGGATTTATTACATCAGATGCTAAACCAAGTCTAACATTACGAGGATCTCTGAAAAAGCCCGGGTTAGATGTATCAAAATGTTTCCATGCATCTGAGTCGGCTGGATGTCTAAGAACCCCATCTTTTAAACGTTGATCATGATGCCATGTCATGTCTGAAGCTATTTCTGATGACGTAAACAACCTTTGCAATCTTGGTTTCAAAGGAAAGTAACGTAAAACTTTTCGAGGAATTTTGCTCCCACTTTTTTCTGTAGTAGCCCCATTAGCTTTTTGACCTTCCCTTAATTTCCACCTAGACTCGCCACAAACCAAGCAAGATTCAGCTTTTGAATTATGTTTCCAAAACAGCATACAATCATTTTCGCAAGCATGTATTTTTTCATAACGAAGACCTAAACTTCGAATCACTTTTTTTGCTCCATAGAATGATTCGGGTAAAGTTTCACCAGAAGGAAGTGCTCGTTTAATTAACTTCATTATGCAGTCAGTTGCTTTATCACTCAATCCATAAAGGCACTTAATTTGGAACAGCTCCACAATTAGTGACAACTTGGAGAATTTCTCGCAACCAGGATAAAGTTGTTGTGCAGCATCCTCCAGTAATTTGGAAAATTCAAAAGCTGGTTCAGAAGGATCAACCCCACCAGAATTGATATCAGGGCCAGTAGCATCATAAATCATTTCAAATATACCATCACCTTGCTCTTTTCTTACTTCCTCTTGTCTTATTTCATTATTGTTAGTGATTTGATCTTTGGGTGCAAATTCTCCATGAAAAAGCCAACGAGTGTACCCCTTGACATCCCAAAAATTATTAAATGTTCCTTTACTTCGTCTCTAGTTTTGTGAACAACATTGTTGCATTTTTTACAAGGGCAAGGAATTTCACCTTCTGGTTCTGTGTGCTTAAAAGCAAATTGAAGAAAATCCTCAACTCCTTTTAAATATACATCGCTCAATCTATCGTTACAGCGCATCTAAGTCTTGTCCATTTCAAAATTTCCTATAAAGAAAAATAAAATAAGATCAAGATGCTTAAAAAAGAAAGATCACTTAACCATGATTATACAATTTAGAGGCTAATTTCACTTATATATCTTGAATCAGATAGCAACTTTTACAAAAGATAGAGAATAAATCTAAAGCAAATAAATTTTGGAGCACGAAAAAACAAAGCGTCAAGAGAAAAAAAATATATATATATTTTGCGAATACATAATTTGAAAACAATCCATAATCACATTACTAATTCTTACAGTAAGTGTCACGACCCAAACCCCCGGTCGTGATGGCGTCCAACACATTGTTAAGCAAGCCCGACCATTCAACAACAAATCTCAACTTATGATAATTCAGGAATTCGAACACAGATACTAAATTACCAAACCATCTTATCAAACTACTATAAGCACGGAGTAGTATACTGAAAACCAACAAAAATACTAGAACATAACTCAAAACAGGATCCGGTGTCACGATCACAAGCCTCTAATACAGAGTGTCATCCTATAACAAGACTGTCTAAGAAACGGAATAATGAAAGATAGGGATAGGAGGGAAGGATCAAGGCTGCGAACGCCATGCAGCTACCTCGATGCTCCCAGTGAAATGCTGCTCAGCTAGACAGGTCCTCCCTCAGACTGCGATGCACCTAAATCTGCACACAAGGTGCAGGGAGTAAAGTGAGTACTCTGACTCAGTGAGTAATAAGCATAAATAATAACTGAAGATAAGAAATCACAAGGAAAACACAAGGCAACTATAACGGCAGTACCAAACCTTTAACAGTGAGACCGGCAAGTCAATAAAGTAGTATTACAGAAAGAACCATGACAGGTAACAGGTAAGGAATGATGCAGTGATGCAATGCAATGCAAATACCGGTACACTCAGGTACCCACTGCGGCGTGCAGACCGAGCCAACCATATATTTTATGTCGACGGCGCTCACTGGGGGTGTGTACAGACTCCGGAGGGGCTCCTACAGCCCAAGCGCAAATAAGCCATCTCGTGGCATCAACCAGGCCCTCGGCCTCAATATCACATAGTACTGCTGCGGCGTGCAGCCCGAGCCATCCATAAATCCAGAAATCACAATAAGCCCCTCGGGCACTTTTAAATCAGTATACCACAGCCCAAAATATCATTTAAAATATCATTTGAATTTTCAAGTTTAGAAAAAGGGGCTGGGTTTGCAAAAATAGTACTTAAAACCTTGGAATGAGGTTAAACAGTGTGCAAAGTATGCAAATCAGTGAAATCAATCCCTGAAGGATCCAAATAACCGGCACGAAGACCAAATACAACAGTCAAATCCAAATAACGATGATTTCTAACAAGTTCTAGTAGAAAAACACAGTAAAACATCACCGGGACGGACCAAGTCACAATCCCCAATAACCAACAGCCCCGCACTCGTCATAGAGCGCGTGCCTCGCCTCAATATAGCGGTACGATGTGAAATTCCGGGGTCTCAAACCCTCATTATATCATTTACACCCATTACTCACCTCAAGCCGGCCCAAAGTCTAGCTCGCTATGCCTTTTCCTCTCGAATTGACCTCCTCGCGCGTCAAATCTGATCAAGACCACAAGGAATACATTACAATAGGCTAAGGGGATATAACCCAATCGAAAAGACTCGAAAAACATCGAAAATCACGAAGTTGGCAAAACCCGAGCCCCGGGCCCACTTCTCGAAAAATTATAAAATTCACATCATCGGATTCCTCGTCTCGCCACGAGTCCATACATATCAAATTTATCAAAATCGGAGTCCATTTGACCTTCCAAACTCCATTTTTAACTTATAATTTCTCAAGCCCTAACTTACCCCCTTTTTGATGAATTTCCACTAATTTCTATGTTAAATTTATCATAATCTCATGTATTTAGGCTAAGGGACTTACCTCCAATCGATTCCCAGTTAAAACTCCCTTAAATTCTCGCCAAAAGCTCTCAAGGTCGCCCAACAATGGTGGAAAATATCCCAAGCTCGCGGATGAAATATTCAATAAAACCCCTTCTAACCAGTCCAGTTTTCGCTTCTGCGGCCAAAATCACGCTTCTGCGGATATTCATTTAAAAATGCCCAACCGCTTCTGCGGCTATATTTCCGCTTCTGCGGAACTTCCTCTCAAGGTCAACACCGCTTCGGCGACTACCAGTCCGCTTCTGCGGACCCGCTGATGCGAAGAATGGTTTGCTTCTGCGGATCTACCTTACCAACCCATGGACCGCTTCTGCGGTGACTCCTCCGCTTAAGCGCCTCCGCTTCTGCGGTCCAAGACCCGCAGAAGCGAGAATACCAGATGCAGCAGATCTTCAGCTATATGCAAACTCCCAAAACTCCCGTTTAACTATCCAAACTCACCCCGAGGCCACCGGGACCTCAACCAAAAGCACAGACATGATCCAATACCCTATTCAAACTTGTTCCAAATCTTAAAACACATCCAACAACACAAAAATCCTCATTTCTCATCAATTTCAAGCCTAAGTTCTTCAAATTCTTCTGAAACTCACATTCGATCAAAAACCCAACCAAAACACCTCCGAATCATCTGAAATTTTGCACACACATCCAAAATCACCTAACGGAACTACTGCAACTCTCGGAATTCCATTCCGACCCCCGGATCAAAATCTCACCCACCAACCGGAATTCGCCAAAATACTAATTTCGCCAATTCAAGCCTAATTCCATACCGGACCTCCAAAATCACTTCCGATCACGCTCTTAAGTCACAAATCATCCCCCGAAGCTAACCGAATCACCGGAAATCATATCCGAGCCCTCTAACTCAATAGTCAACTTCCGGTTGACTTTTCCAAAACAAGCTTTCCTTAAAGAGACTAAGTGTCTCATTTTCATCTAAAACCAATTCAATTCAACTCGATCACCTCAAATACTGATAACGAAGCATGGAGAAACATAATATGGGGAAAACGGGGCGGTAACTCACGTGACGACGGGCCGGGTCGTCACAGTAAGATGTTTGTGATAATGAAAAACTGGAAGGTATTATGTACTGGATGAAAGAATCCGTAGCAATTGCTACTGAAATCACCTTCGAATTAATATTTAAAGCAAGGGAAATAAGAATTGCAGAAAGAATAGGGAAAGAGAATGAAAAAAGGAAGTAATGACAAGATAAGTCAATGTCATGAATTCTTTATATGCAATACCCTCTTTAAAAAAATCTGCTTTCATGAGACATCTCTCACAACAATAATCACGACCAGATAGGTATTCATGCTTATTGGCCTTCAAGTTGGATGTGATAACAAATTATGGCTTCTATTCTCTTAGGTGAGAGTTTTTTAGTTTGTAGTACTAAATTTAGCTGGTTAAGATTCAACCAAAAAATAGTTGACAGAAAAGTTTCAGCTTTTTCTTTTTAAATTTATGGATCTTTTATACTGTAATGAAGCATTTGTGTGCCGATTGAAGTTTTGAAAGTTGGTTTAATGCTCTTTGTCCATTTGTGTTCTTATTCTTGGCAAACCGAACTAGTGAAACTGAAGTCGAAGCCAATGACGAGATCCTTAGAAAGTGTGTCATATAAGTTGTAGATTAAGTGTTGCAGGCTGAGAACAATTCCTCCAAAAGAGATGATTTTTCTTTGAACCAAAAGACTACAGCAGCTGTGATTCTGTGATTCTGTACGTAACAATTAGTCTGAGATAGCCAGAGTATTTGCCCATAAATTTTTATCGCCCAACTCATAAACTCTATTAATCATTGTTAATTAATGTACATTACTTGACCTAATTTTAATTCTTTTGAGGACTCCAACAATACACACAAAGTGATAAAACAAAATCACATTAAACAAGCAGTACATCTTTCATACTGGAAGAGGCCATATGCCATAGCAACCCCGATACACAAAATCCCACTTTTTGCTCCTAAACAACAACTATCGGTATTCAACACCAAATCAATATTCACCACAACAATTAGCATTCTAAGCAGCCCAACAGTGAACCTTCGACTAGAAAGAAACAGAAGAAAGAAATTCTGATTTTAAGCGAATAAGAAGAAAGAAACTTCAGAAAACAGAGAAAAAATAAACTTACTCTGCCGGATAATATCGCCAATTGCTGCCAGCGGAGATGAAGAATGAGGTTGAGGCTTCATCTTTGAGAGAAATTTGGAAGAGAAATTAATTTTGAGAGATGAGGGTTTAGGGATCTTTTGGTACGGTGTAAATTAGATCAAATAGAGGGACGCTTATGGGGATTGTACGTCCTGTTCTAAGGAATGCACATATATGTCAAAGTGGCATATTATACACTTTGGTCCCATAATACTTTATATATGTTAAGATTTAAAATTTTAGAGGTGTTCATTCTTGGATTCAACTTAATTTTACGGGTTCTTTCTTGTAAGTCTCAAATTAATTTAAATAAATAAGGTGATTATCTCTAATTAATCGAACATGTTCTATCAAATAATACCTTTTAGGGTAATTAGAGGTGTTCATCGTTTAGTTCAATCCAGTTTTACAGGATCTTACTTGTAAGTTTCTAATATAATTTAAATAAATAGGATGATAATCTCTAATTAACATTGATAACCTCTTTTATCGAATTTAAATAAAGCTTTATCAAGTTCGCTCAAGCTTCACCACGATCAAGTACTTTGAGAATAGTTATTTTGGGTGGACATGCTCTAC